GTGCTTTGAAACAACTACCACATTTCCAAGGCCACCTTCAGCAAAATGCGAAGACAGGAAAGAGTCTGAGCTGTATTCCTAGGGCCCGGTGCATGATGAGAAACCAAGGGAAGGAAAGAGCAACAACAAAAAGTCTCAGGAGGGGAAAATTGGCCAGAGGTAGGATTATGAATAGGCACAGAAGACTCGCTCTCTGCAGAAGCAGAAGGTACATGACAAAATGTTCAGATGTAAGGGAACAAGAAGCACCAAAAGCGAAGGATATCTAGACCGTCATCCTGGGGAGCAGATGGTTTTCTTCACTAGTTCATGTCAGGCGCAGAGAGAGAAGCAAAATGATTCACCAAGAGGTGACCACAAGCAGCCACGTCCTCCGGGGAAAGGGAAGTGTCGGCAACGATGGATTTGCAAAGTGCTCGCGTCTACGGGCACAGGCCGCCGCGGCTTCTAATGGCCCGATATCCCACAAGATGCTGCAACGGGGCACGATGTTTCTCCTCCCACCCCAGCATCTTTCCAACGAGCCATTTGCCAAGCTCCGCCCCAGCAGTCTTTGACATTAGCAGATTAGGTATTTGATTACCGATCGGTCTGATTAGCAGCAAACAGCGACTACAGGAAACGTGGAAGGTTTCTGAGAAGGAGCTCTTGAAACAACCTGATAACCAAGTACACTTCAATTGAGACCATCCAGAATTAGAAACTGAAATCACTACCCAACTGGAGGCAAGCTCATTGCTAAGAGATCTGCTAGGCCACTTGAATTAAGGTCACCGGCAGGACAATGCTGACGCAGCAAACAGGCCGGGGTCTCAAAGAGAACTGAAGAGCTTTTGATAATCTCTGACAAGCAGCAGCTTCCCACCCTCAAAAAACCTCCCTTGGCTTCTGGCCCGTTCCCTCCGTGCATCCTTGAAGATGCTGCACAGACTCGTGTTCTCACCTTTATCTATTTTTATTCTAGTCTAACATCTTTGAAACCAGACATTGTACCATCCTGTTTAGTCGCACATGCTGCATATACAGTCCAGGCATAGGAATATTTGGGAAACGGGCGCGAGTCCATAACACCACCCTAAGCACTGATGCCTAGGGAGGACGTTACTAGGCTTAGCATCCGCTCGGGTTTGCTAGTCTGAATTTTCCTTCAGACCGATGTCCGACAGATCCAGCACGCTGCCCGTTTCCAAACACAGGGGCGTGCATGCCCGGGCCAGTCGTCCAGATCAGCCAGCACCTGTTTTCAGGCAAGGGTCACCTTCAGAGAAAGATCCACATAGTCCCCCTAAACTCCAGAATAACCTATGAACGGAGGAAACGGCACGTGTGCATGTGTCATGTCTCGAAACATTCCCCCAGACCCGAAATCTGTGATAACAGGTAACCCTAAGCCAGGGTTTCCCCACACTTAGTTCAAGCCTCTTACGATCAAGTATCCCAGCCCGTTCTGACGTGACGGTTCGATTCCCATCTGAAAACACTCCTGAAAAGACCGTTCAGCCAGGTGGGCCAGGCAAGTACATCATTTTTACTGCATTACTCAGGATGTGACCACATCTGAATTAAATGATCATTTCTAAAACAAAAAAAACAAACAGGATCACTTTTCCTAGCACTTCCTTGTTCAGCCCAACAACTCCACGGCAAGTCAAACTCATGGTGGGAGAAGCCAAGATTCAGCCGGGAGCCTGGGTTTTTACTGCGCGTTTTCACCGCCTGATCCAACGCCTGGCTTCTAGCAAGCACTGGATCGGCCCCGAAAATGACTGCGCTTAAATGAGATACGAGCATGCCACACTTTGAATGCAGACAAGACGACGCAACTCGGGAATATAAGCAATACAATTTTTAATTCTGACCAGTCACCTACAAACCCCTTGTCTTTCCACTGTTCTGATGGCATTATTAAATATCACGTTTGTGACATCGCTAGGGAAAAAAATGACACAGAGATACAGAACATTATGATACAATAGTACAAATGATAAATTATTTATACAGTAAATAATGTCAATAGTCAGCACAAATTCATAAAAAGCAGCCTGCTCCCAGAATTATGAAAACAGTTTGGTAAATATTTAAATTGTAACACTTGTAAAGGAAGCAAGGTTTTGTGAGATTCTGCTGTGAAAAATAAACCGTATATTTCTCCACAATTTGTGCAATATTAATACATACAGTACACATTAGAAACCATAACAGCAAAAGGGAAGATGGACAACAATAGCTGTCTTAGCTATGGGACTTCAAAAAGACTGTAAACAGCACGACCCACCATGAATTCCCTTGCCTATCCCCTCACCGCGTTTTAGTTTCTACATAGTATAAAATGAATAAATAACTGAGCTTATTTTTTGGGATTAAAATTATACCAAGATGCTTTTACAAAATAATTAACGCTTTAATCTTTGGTCAATTTGACCAGTAAGGCTATTTTGGGATACTAACGTTTTCAAACAAAAGCACTTTCTTAGTTCGAGGTGGGGAGGGGGGTTAGGAGGTTTGGAGAAAGATCGGATAAATAGACATGCTCCATCCAAAAAAAGGGAGAAACTTTTTTCTGGAAACGTATGAAACTAGGACTATTCAGTGGATTTACAAAAGTCAGGACGTAACTGAAGCTTTGATCAACTACGGACGGGAACAACCTTTCACTGCTTTTTACCTGGTGCCACGAGTGTGCGCGGCACTTTACAGGGACACACACGTCTCTCTCTCGTCAATAAGTAGGTATTTACCAACCCAGCTATTGGTTCCGATTTCCTCCCCCCGCCATGCCTCAACACCCACTTCAGGTTGGGGATCAAGGTGGTTAAAAGTCCTTGGCCTAGTGCTATAAAACACCGCGAGGTGTGCCTATCGCTGTTCGGACACCAAGAATGTCGCCGTGATTTATTGTGCGGTACGTGTAAAAAAGTAGTACGGCTCTTACAAAAAGTGGCTTGGTCAAAGCAACAGTTTGCCATTCAGCAGTTTCATTAAACTAGGGTCCATACGCTCCCTACCAGACCCACAGACAATGTCCTAGCAATCCGTGACGATGGTTCGCTACTCTGAGCCGCAGATGTTTTAAGAAGGATTTTAATGTTTACTCTCCCCCATTTCTATCCTGCCTCCTAATGGGAAAGCCAAAAAATAAAAGAAGATACCTAACGTTTCTCAGAGGTCGCGATTAAAACGATCAGCTGAACTGATAATGCCCCAGTTAAACTCTGCTCGCACAAGCAGGTGACGGACTAAAATCTGGGGGAAATATCAAATGACCTCACTCCACCGCTAAGTAAATTAAATTCGAAATAACATGGCATGATTCTTGCCCTAGATGATGAACCGAAAAGCACTTTTTGCCCCCCCATCTGCTTAATATCACCACTTGCCGAGTTTCTCCTCCTAGCAAGAATCATGCCTTTCTGGTCTACACTGATCAACAGCTTCAGAAGAAATTCATTTTCCCTACGCCGAAAGGCAACATGAATGATTTTTTTTTTTTTTTTTTTAAAGACATAATGGGTGTGGACAGTATTTTTCCCTCCTGAATGAAACAGTAGCACATTCACATTCTGCATCCGACTCGGAAATCCAGTAGTAACAAGGAGGAGAGAACGAGCTGCGGAGAAATGTCCACACGTTTTACATTCTGGACAGTAACAGAGCTACCCCGACCAACAGAGCTAGGATCTGTGATTGTACCCTAGATTTGATCGTCGCTCAGCCTCCCCTGCTCCTGCCAAAGACACGCAATCCAGTCCCTTCCGCACCGAGCAGCCCTTGCTTTTCTGTGTGGCACGCTGCTAGGGGCTGGCACGATCGACGCAGCGTCACGCGGAGTCCTGGCATGGATCTGTTTGGGCGGTTTCGTCATCTGGCAAAGGCCACCGAGATGCACCAGTTCATTTGTGGAGATGCTCCAAAGCAGCGACGAGCTTTGGGACACCCCCCCCGAAACAGGCCCTTTGTGTCTGCGGGCACCGCACGTGAAAGCGGGGCTTCGGCCAGGCTGCCACCTTAGAGAAGGCCAGCTGCATACACCAGTAACGTTACCCGAAACCTGAGCGTGGTTCAGTGCTGATGAGCCCGAGTTAGAGTGTATAGTTCGGCTTACAATGAACAGCTGTAAATGGAATCAGTAATGATTACGGAGTGCACCTTTAGTTAGAGCAAATTAGGTGATGAAATTAATAAGTCATGTTCTTAAGTTAGAATTTCAAACATTTCACGAAGCGCTTCCGGGAAAACCAACAGCCTCGTTCGTGATCTTCCTGAAGGCTAACGGTCTGCCCGTTGCGGTAATCATCACGTAAGGAGTGAACCAAGGGAAAAAGCAATGTTAGTGTTTTTTTAATCGCAGTCTTAAAATCACATGATGCTCAAATTCTTTTAAAAAGTAATTAGTCACGAGACGTCATTTGTAATTTCCGCTATGAATTCTTAATTCCGAAAGAAAAATATTTTAGTTAATCTTCCCTTTTAAATTCTTTTTACAGAACAAAAAAAAAAAAAAAAAAAAAAAAAAAAAAAAAAAAAAAAAAAAAAAAAAAAAAAAAAAAAAAAAAAAAAAAAAAAAAAAAAAAAAAAAAAAAAAAAAAAAAAAAAAAAAAAAAAAAAAAAAAAAAAAAAAAAAAAAAAAAAAAAAAAAAAAAAAAAAAAAAAAAAAAAAAAAAAAAAAAAAAAAAAAAAAAAAAAAAAAAAAAAAAAAAAAAAAAAAAAAAAAAAAAAAAAAAAAAAAAAAAAAAAAAAAAAAAAAAAAAAAAAAAAAAAAAAAAAAAAAAAAAAAAAAAAAAAAAAAAAAAAAAAAAAAAAAAAAAAAAAAAAAAAAAAAAAAAAAAAAAAAAAAAAAAAAAAAAAAAAAAAAAAAAAAAAAAAAAAAAAAAAAAAAAAAAAAAAAAAAAAAAAAAAAAAAAAAAAAAAAAAAAAAAAAAAAAAAAAAAAAAAAAAAAAAAAAAAAAAAAAAAAAAAAAAAAAAAAAAAAAAAAAAAAAAAAAAAAAAAAAAAAAAAAAAAAAAAAAAAGCTAAAACCATAAATAAGAGGGCATTAAAACCATAACAGTGACATCTGCCAATATCTTAATTTTTCAGCCAGACGTGATAAGTCTATCAAAACTAGACAGTTAAATAAGAACCACATTATAAAAATTAGCCAAAAAAAGACTAATTAGGTCATTCTGCAAACTCAAAATATGAAACTGTACTAAAAAACAAAAATATGTGCAAAAGTATACCAGAGTAACTGCATATAGCAAGGTTAAGCCTGAATTAGTTTTAAAGCTTGCCCCGGTGAAACTGAATTCAAAGTTGTCCCACTGTATTTCTTTTAAACTCACATTGTAAGTCAAATAAAAACAAAATACACACAACAACTTCCAAATGAAGTCACTACTGGACAAGCACAGAGCAGACCACTCATTCAGCACGAGTGCAGCATGCCACTCACAGAAAATTCCTTAAGAGTCCTTAGATAGTAGTGTACAAATTCAACACCGCATACAACAGCACACTGTGTACGTGACAACTCGGGAATTTGCTTCGGATCTTTTCCTTCGGAGACAAGCCGGCTTTCTCGGTCAACCCTTTGCGAAGAAAGCAGTGCGGTTTTGTGTTGCAATGTTTAATGTGGGGGGGGAAAAAACCAGCCTCCTGGGCCCTCCAAATCTCTCCTAGGAATAAGGACTATGGGTGAACCAACAGTCTAGAACTGTGTATCGTTATGTGCAAAGACATTCACTAGCACTCAAGTCTCGTGTCTATCGTACGGGCAGAGGAAATGGCAGGTGCGTGTCATAGTATTTTTAGGATCCGGCACATCATCTGACATCTACAAAATAGCAAACGGAGTTTAAAATGGCAGGTTCTCCCTAGAAAGTGTATTGAAATGATTAACAAAGCAACAAAATGGGCGTAACCTAACTTTGGTGAAAAGTCTGAACATTTCATGTAATGCTCAACAAGCCAAAGTAAAGTACCATCTGTAGCAAGGACTAGCATTAGATTAACTGGTAAGTAGAGACAACTCTTCAAAGATCACAACTGTAAACTGCAAATCTACTTCCAAGTCTCTCATACACCGTTCAGTCCACACAGGCTTTGTTCATTTTGCTCCAAAGACTTCACCTGGAAACATTTTGAAAAGAGTTTCTTTGATTGGGTCTTTATAGGAGGAAAGGGTTAGTTGTATTTGTGGGCTGGGACGCCGATGGAGGGATTCCTGTACTGTGAAGAGGTTGGGTCATTGATCCTGCAATGCTCATGTTCATCCCCTGGCCCATTCTCGTTAGTGATGCCACGGTGCCCATCGCCGGGAGAGGTGCTATTCCCACAGCCACGGGTGCCATGGAAGACAGAGGTATTGGCTCCATGCTTATTGCTGGCACGGCACTAAAAGAAGGGCTGGTTCCCATCACGGGGCTTGCTCTCATTTGATTTAGAGTGAGGGGCTGAGGCTGATTCACTTGGAAGGGGTTGACTGGAGGTGGCACAGCAGCTGCTCCTAGTTTTGAGAGAGAAAAAGAGAGGAAAAAGACTGCAGCTCCACAGATGTCAAGGCACTGGGGAATGCCCTATACATTTCAGGTAGGGAACATGCATCCTTAACATCCCGGTACTCCCCACGCCCAAAGCACTCCTATGGAAGAGTGCCTATAGGGTACCACTCGTGTATTCAAGCCATTATGCTTTCCTGTTGCACAAGCCCCTTGACTTCAGAAAAGCTGCACCTGTTCCCAGTATTACCTGCCCCACTCTACACATGAAATGTCAACAGGATGCTTCGATGCTAAGGGGCAGTTTCTGCTTTTTTGCAAGAGATTCTGTACAAACAGGTCCCACAAGCTACAAATGTGGAGCGTGCCCGAACGTGACATTCAACTGCACTTTTTTTTTTTTTTTTTTTTTTTTTTAAAGGGCACTTAAAAATAACTTGCAGATATCCGCTATCCCTTTACTGCACCCAGCCTACTGCATATGGGTGTATTTGCTTCTGGACTGCAGCCACCCGGCTCCAAAAAGCTGCCCGAGTGTTTGGCTCGGGGATCCGACAAGAATGCGTAATGTAAACACGTTGCTTTCCAAATGACAGTCAAGTCAGGGAAAAAAGCAAACGAGAACTTTCCCAGCCTTCAAGTTTTTGAAGCACTGCCAGCAGTGCACATTCCTTACACCGTATATGTTCTTACTTCTGCGGATGGCCCAGTGACCCCTTGTAAACTTCTTGTAGTAACTGCGAATGACAGATATGCAGGCTTCCTGTTGCTGAAAACTGCCAGGTGGCTCATAATTACTGTTCATGCTTCAGTTTTCCCAAACCTTCTTAGGCTCTTGCTGTTTTCCACTATTAGAAAACAATTACCAACCTTGGAATAGACTAAAAACTGGTCAATATTTGTTACAGTGACTCATATGAAGACTCTGAATAAAGCATTTTTCCTATGCCTGCGGCAGAGTCAGTTGGTGTTTTGGAAAATGTTGCCCTGCAGCTGTTTTTCATTTCACACAAGTGTATGTGAGCCACAGCAGATCATCCCGGCTGCTCTTCTCACATCCAGAGCTGAAAACCTTCAGCACGTGATTGGCTTGTTTGGACGGTCCTCGCATACTTTTCATCCTAGGCAACTCAATCAAACCGTACAATTTTTTCAGCTTCTGTGTACATCACTATTCAGTACAGGTCCTCCTCCTCCACAGTTTTTATTAGCACTGATTATCATTTTTAGCAATTATGTTCAGCTTTTGAGGGGAAAGATGCATGTATGACTACCAAAGGTTTCATCCTGGGAGCTGCAAGGAACCTGCAATGGGCTCCTCCTGAGCCTGATGGTTTATTCAAGGATCAGGTCTTATGATATTAAACTAAGAAGAGATACAGGGCATGTCTACACATGCAAATATTGCTGGATGAGTAATTTACTCTAGAGTAAACCCACGGGCCCAGCCAGCTTTGGGCTCGCGCAGCACAAAGCTGGCTGGGTACTGCTCAAAACAGGGCAGTACCCAGCCAGCTCCAGGCTGCACGTGCACACTTGCCTGCACAGCATGGGGCTGGCCAGGAACTGTCCCGGTCTGAGGGAGGTCTCAGCCAGCTCCAGGCTGGGCGGGGAACTCTCCCGACTGTGAAGCGGAGCTGGGGCCAGGAGTCCCCTGCTGCTGGGACAGGGGGACACTACCCCTGACAGGCTCTGGTGGGGTGTCCCTGCTGCCCAGCTGACCGGGAGCAAATCTGCTCTTGGTTGGCCATCTACACATGCCTTACTGTGCAGTAATTACTGGGCAGTTAGTTTGCTATTTGCATTTGCAGGTAGCAAATTAACTGCCCAAAAGAGCAAATTACTGTGCAGTAAGAGTCTGCACGTGTAGACAGTGACACTCGCTATGCAGTAATTTGCTCTATTGAGCAGTAAAGCATCTCATGTAGATGCACCCACAGACTACTAACTTAGGAGGGGAAGAACTATATAGGATCCTAAAATCAGCAGTGTTATTATACAGATTGTAATAACGCTGAGGAACCAGCCATGCAGTAAATTGATGCAGATTCCTATCCTCAAAAGAGTTTGCGATTTGAACTGGCCAGAGAGATTGTGGGAAGGAAGAGAGCACACAGAGGGCAAATCACATACCCATGGCAGCACAGATCATCAGGAGAGCCAGGAAAAGAACACAGGTCCTTCCAAGTCCTAGTCCCTAAAACTACATTGCCTCTTCTCTGCTAAGCAATATGGAGCAAAACCTGCTGGCCATCGTTGTCTAGAAAAGCAGGCCAGGCTTTAAGTACAAGATGTAAATTAAGCCAAGAGAAGGAGGGCTGCTTCTACCAGGAAAGAAGATAAAATGGGAAAGCAAATTATATGGTGGAGAGGAATATACTGTAACATACCTGGAGCTAAGAATGGATTTAATGAAGCAACAGGCTGTGGTGGCTTAGACACCAATGAATCAAGATTCACCAAAGCTGCATTGGGGCCCAAGAAGGACTCGGGGGTTTTCCGAGCTGCATTTTGTTTGCTCAATGTCACGTTTGTGGGTTGAGAATCAAAGAGATCAGGACTTGCTGTACCACTGTGTTGGGATGGCAAATTGGAACCAGACTCAGCTGGAAGAAAAGGACAAGACAAAACCAAAAAAAAAATAGGAATCCACTAAATGCGACAGTTCAGTAAAGTCTGCTGCTTACGCAGTCATGTTGTCAGAGCTCTTTTACAAGAGTAAGGAAACAAACGATTTCATTCTGCCATTAAGTTTAACTACATATCAGAAGTAATAATGTACTTTTAAAATGTGTGTTCCATTTTTAGCTGGTTATTTAAATATATTCAATGCTAAACACCCCTTACGATATGATACAATATAAACAAAGCTTTATACAACTGGCCTTGACTTCCTAGTGTTTGTAGACACAGATAAGAGCCTCTGTGAAAAATATTCAGAAGCATCAATTATAAACTCGCTGTGTTAGCCCCTTCACTGACATTTCTTGTTGCAAAGGGACTTGCACAACTATTAAGCCAGTTCACCCACCTTCCGCTAATGTTTCAGACTGACAGTTTTCATTAAGTGGTATCAAAGTGCTCAAGAAAACAAAGTTTCTAATTTTTCCATTACTGTTAACTTCAAGAGTCTGTATGTCTACAAGACTGCCTTCAGGTTAGTGCATGTCACTGTTTTCTACCACGGGCATGACCTAATTATGACTCATATGAAAAATGCACTGGAAGATCATTTAAATCAAGCACAAGTTACTGGATTCAATACAGAGGTAACTGAATCAAGTTCTGGGGTATACCAGACTATTTTTAAGAAGCCCTGTGAATCAACGCAAAGGGAAGCTTGTTAACATCTGGCTTTTACTGCTTCATTGCATATATAACAGTTTTAAATCTGTTCATTGTGAAAAAAACTGCATCTTTTTTTAGAACAATTTTTTTATCAACGTGCTATCAAAATGATTACAAAAACTACCCATTTTCTGAGTATTTATTTGATCCGTACCTGGCTTCTTGGAAGTCCGAAGGGTGTCAAATTCAGAAAAGTCATCTTTAGCTGTACCATTCAAATTGCTGAAGAGGTCAAAAGACGAACTTCCTATTCAAGGTAAGAAAAGACCGCTGTCATTAATCGAGCTCCGGTGCTATTAAAAAGCCATTTCTAAACCATTTCTCTATGTCGAATCACAGCATTTAAGGTCAGCAAGGGGGCTTTTGCTGCTATCCAGGCCCAAGCTCTACGAGTATTGCTACCTCCTTGGTATATGGCCTTTACTTATACTTCTAGTTGCCCCTCTTTGTTCAGTGTTACAAGCCATTTGTGGAAATGGTCCGAGGCAAATCTTTGCATGCAGGTTCTTAGTTAAGTGCCCTTCGAATGTTGAGAGGTAATGTCAGTCAAACATTATTTGTGGGAAATCAGAGCAGTAGTAATTTTGTGGCCCAAAAGACAAGGGTACATTTACTGACTATAGCTTTTAAATAAAGCTTCATGCAGCTAGCTGTGGCAATGACAAATACATTCTCTATATTCTGGGATTGCAAGTGTGGAGAGAAAAGGAAGGCGTAACAAAGAAAAGGCAACACAAGGGCCAGCATGGCCATAATTGGGGTAAGAATTAGATTCCCAATTCTGCATCCTGCTTTCATATTAAAAGAACTGGGAAGGCAAAACAAAGGGTAATTCGCAGTACTGTATATAGCGAAGACCTACAGCACTAAGCAAAGGGACGCCTAGCCTTTCTAATATCTCCACTAGATAGGGAGATGTATTTAACCAAAAAGGAAGGTGGAACAGCCCATAAACCTGATGAGGAATCATTACTCCAAGTCTAACAGAGCATGGGCATTTGAAAAACCGTTATTTCTGAAAAGAAATACGGTCACGCTATCAGCTGACATTAAGCTTCCAGCAAACAAACGATCGGTAAACAATTCGTGACGATAAAAAAAACCAAGCTAGAATGGAAGCAAAATTCCACGCTCTGACCGACGCTATTTATTTCCAGACAGAGGGAAAGTCTCCATAAAACCCAGATTTCAGAATCATTTCCACAATGATTCAATTATTTTGCTTTGCCAATGGAAAAGGAGATTAGACGTGACCTTAATATCATTCCACTTATCGGTCCATTGTTTATTATGTGCAGATGAACGAATGCCAGCAAACCCATTTGCGCAGAAAATCAGGATACCACCATGAAAACACCCAGGTATTTCTGAGGCTAGTGAGAGTTACGAGAATGACGGCATAAGCAGCTTCTTGCTGCAATATCTTTGAGGGACAGATTTGCAAAGGCCCAAAGGGCAGAGAAGTGCCGAACTCCAGCTTGTGCCCTTGAAAAATCTTCTCCCCAGAACGCTGGCCATTGATCAAACACAGAACTAATGAGCCACATCTGCGGACGCACCCTTCTGCGCTACAAGGTCAAATTAAAAAAAAAAAAAAAAAAAAAAAAGACTGCTGCCTTTTAGCTTTCGGTTTAATGCTCTAGCTTCCAGAAATTCATTTTTTACCTAACCGAAGCTAAAGCTGGTCATACAGTCGAGGGTGTCAATGGCAGCCAGGCAGTTCCAGCTGCCTGGCTTATTCATGTGGCAGGTGTACATAGAGACAGGTCACAAAGAAAGAGGAAGGGAATTAGCGTGGAAAAGGTGAAACGTGAATTCGGTGCTCTGTGATTCAAGACGACGACGCAAAATTCTCCTTGTTGCGATCTTCTTTGCTGTCACGAGTCAACTCCCAAACCCTTCAGTGCAATGGCTTCTTTTACCTGATCCATTTTAGAAATTACCTGGATGAGGCAGAGAAATAACTCCTCCAGTTAAAAAAAAATATTTTAAAAGGGATTGGCTCCCTGCATTTAGGAAAAAGTTGTCAAATGTTAACACAGTCTCTTACCAGAAGTAGAAATAGGTTTGTTTGCAGGTGCTGGTCCCCAAGGATCTGCTGTAGCTTTTGCTGCCACAGACGATGACTGAGAAGGAGCCCAAGGATCTACATTTTTGGGGAGAGGCTGAGCGGTGGATCCAGCTGGTGCTCCCCAGGGGTCAGCAGAAGCCGCTGGCTTGGCACCTGGAGCAAGAGACCGCAGATCAAACATAATCTCACTCTGAAAAGCTTTCCTGGGTCGTTACTTGCCTCCAGGTATAAATTATCCCTGCAAGGTAAACACTAAGACAGCGGTGAAACAAATTGTTCAACATGAGTTGCTGTTGGCACACACGCGTTAACGTGCTATCCATCCAAACTGACAGCAGGCTCTGCGGAAGACTCCCACGCTATAAAAATAAGCTCCCACTTGAGCATGTAATTAAACTTGTAATTCCAAAACAAGGATGAATACGTTTGGGGGGGGGGTCTGAGCAGACTGTCCCTCCCCACAGCAGAGAATCAAGATTGACTGGAAATGACACAGGAAAATCCCAGGTTATATTTAAAGTTAACTCGGGGGGAGGGGGGGATTGTTTCGATAAGGCAATACCTAAAAGAAGCAATGTTTTCTGTGCAAAAACTGGCAGTGGTTAGGAAAAACCCTACCTAACAGCTTAACGTGAGTCCCCTTATAGCTGCCTTCTTTTTCCACTGAATTTAATTCTATAAAAGAATAACCGACCTATTCCACCTTCCCTGAGCTACGGTTTTCCCCATTTCTTACTCTGCTCCTCCCAAAGGCCTTCTCCAAGTCATCTCTCTTCTGTTCCTCGGTCATCCTTGCCTTCTCCCCATCACTGCTGGTTGCAATAGTCCTCCACCCTCAACCCACATCCCCCTGGTGCACTTCCATTCTAATGTCCTGATTGAGGTTTAGGATTCCCATTTTTAATGGAATAAATAGGTAATTCTTCACCCATGCAGGCCACAATGGCTAAATGATCTATATTTCAAGAGAAACGAAGGACTGACCCGGGTTGAGGCCTCCCTGGGATCCCCCAGAACAGAAGAAAGTCGGGACCGTAAAAAGCATATGACAAAATACAGAAGAGCAGCAACTTGTCCCCTGTACAGTATAGCTGCTGCCCAGTTTCTTCTGCAAATAAATCCCCTCCCCATCACCCTCTCCTGTAAACAGTCAAGCTTCTTCCTAACCCAGGTTCAGTCCAAGAAGTCATCCCTTCCATTCTCCCTACCCCAGGCTCAAATCCTGGCTCCACTGAGGGAGTCGACACTGGATTTCAGCAGTGCCAGGACCACACTGGCAGCACTTTGCCAGTACAGGTAATGTGAACACGACTTACAGTTTATTCCAGCCTCCCACCCCAGCGCGGGGCATGTGAATGGGATCTCTACTCACAAGAATCTTTTACTTTACAAAACCAAGAAATATGACAAATATTTTTGCTTTGACACCTGCCCACGCAACACGGAGGCGACCAATTTTCTTCTAGTTAGACAGTGCATTCACACACATCCTTTTTCCAAAAAATCAGATTTCTAGACAAACCGAGGTTTCGTTCCCAGCAGGAAGCATACATATGAGAGCCCCGCACTGTACTGCGAGAACTGGACAGAGCCACCCTTGTGCTAGGCAGCTGCATCACCTTGGATCACCTTGCCGGCTTTGGTCCACAATCAAACGCTCAGTTGTTCAAAACAGCACCCCAATACTCGTTGCTACAGCCAACGAGGAGACGCGCTCACCAGCACGGCTTCCAATTCCCATTGTTAGCTCACTTTCATCAACAGGTGCCGTGGTTTTGTTCCAGCTACAGAGCAGGAAATGCAGAAGTGCTCCAACTCAATGCAGCTCCTCTCGTTCCAGTTCTTAGATTGCCTTCATCTGCATTTTGGTTCGAGTTACGATGGAGGAGACCATGTGAGAAATGCTAATGACACGACTTCCCATAAACGGAAGCTTTAAAAAAAAAAAAAAAAAAAAAAAAAACCCAACAAAAAAACCCCCTTTTCTTTCATGAGACAGATCACAACAGTGAAGCATTTAGGAAGATACCTTCCCCCCTCCCCACCCCAACTCCCCTTTGTCTCTATTGAAATGCCACAGCACAGTGAGGCAGGATTAAAAATCTCTGTTTTAATGAGTCACTGTTTAACTAGCCATCGGTTTCATAAATCTGACATCTTCAAGACTATCCTTGGGAGCCAAGTAACTGGCAAGCTAAAACAAGGGGTTTTTATTAATGGCATTAATAAAGCTGGGAGCCAGCAAAAGGAACCGCTACAGCTGCAACTCTACCAGCCATTGACAAGTTTTTGCTTGTATTTTAAAACATGAGATGGATGAAATTTTCCATTAAAAAAAAAAAAAAAAAATCTTCCGAACAGTCTTAGTCTTAAAACCCCGGAACTGTGAGTGACCTTTTCTGATCTCGTGTTTCAGTTTCTAAAACAGCGAACTGTGGCTGGCCCAAAAGTTATGCAGTTGCACAAAGTGAGAATAAATTATTGCTTCAACGCTAATATTCCCATCCCTGACTTGCTTCCTACAGAGCAGCTGGAGTTGAGACAATCACAACGGGGATCTCCTTGCCACATGGGATGGGAAGAGAGTCCTAGCATCAGTCGGGGCTAAATAAGAAATCAAATCGCTTTCTACAGGAGAGGCAGGAGTAATAGACTCAGAAAGGGAAGAGCTCAGGATCGAACCTGCTGGAGAAGCTGTGCAGGAGACCACGGCTCCCCGCCCATCAGGATGATAGACTCCTGCCTGAAGCATTTCCTCCTTTTGCCAGTGGTACACGGCTCTGCCGTCTCCATTTGGCTTCCCAGGCACAGAATGGACTAGCAGTGCCTGGCGCCTCTCCCAGAAGATCATGACTTCTGGTCACACATTTGTGCCATCTGTCGCACCTTTCTTGCTACCTGAGTGTTGCTAGGACTATATTCATAGATGACATCCCTCTTTCCAGAAGTCCGAGCCTGATTTTCCCCGCTTTGCTCCACTGGATCTTTTTGCTGTCTACCTTGAGTGCCCCAGGAATTAGAAAGAGACTTTCCATTACCGCTCCATGCAGTAAGTTCCTTTTCAGTTTAAAATGGTGCTGAACATCTCTGCCCGCCTCCTTCCCCACCAAGCCATCATGATCATATTCAGAAAGACAAGGTTCTGGACACAATACTGTTGGCTTCTTAGGAAGTCACAGAATCACAGACAATGAGGGATGGAGGGGACCTCAGGAGGACATCCAGTCCAACTCCCTGCTCAAAGCAAGACCACCCCCATCCTCATGCCAACCAGGCTTTAAAGACCTCCAAGGATGGAGACTCCACCACCTCTCTAGGTAACCCATTCCAGTGCTTCAGGACCTGAGGCCTGGTACTTATGCTTTTCTTGTGCTCCCCTACTTACTAATGGAAATCACGAAGCTTGAAGTTTGCAAGGGGGGGCCTGAAGAGGTCACCTCTAGCCCATGAAGGAAGATACAAGAGGCTACAAGCTCCAATCTCAAATTTAACAGGCCATAACTACTCAAAATGACTGCAAACAAAGGCCTGTCTAATACCAGCCAACAAAATATGGGGGTTGACACTGATGACAGATACGAGGTGAACAGAATTAGATGGGTAATAAGAGGGACAGGGTTACCCAGCATGTCTCTTGTGCTTGACGTATTTGAGGAGGGAATGGGGCAAGTGATGGGTTAGCTCTATGGCCAAGAGCAGCAGCTGCTACAACATGAACAACTTGTACTATCTGCTTCCTGCTTACTCAGGGATTAGGTGGAAGAGAAGAGTGCATCTAGCCGCATTTCCTGGGTTTCTGAGCCAGGCAAGCCTGGTTCCTGCTTCACTAAATGATTCCTGGTTGGTCCAAAACCACTAGCCCAGAGGTTCTCAAACTTTGTCTTATTGCATATCCCCTCCCACATTTACCAGCTCCCTGTGTACCCCTATCAGCATACATTTTATATTTTGACCCCTTAAATGCCAATTATTATTATTATTATTATTATTATTATTATAATGAAAACTAAATTCACCATTACACAACTTCTTCCGTGTATCCCCCAGAGATGTTTTGCGTACCCCCAGGGGTATGCGTACAACAGTTTCAGAACCACTGCACTAGGTGTTACTGGTCACAAAGAACATAAATGCATTCAGTGATGGAGGATTTGCAAGGGAGCAAACTGGCCTTCCTTCTTTCTGGGTTTTTCTACCATTTCTGCAAACCTTATAGAATTGCAGCAAGTCAGTCCCGGTCAGGAAGTTTCTGGCAAATACGTAGCCATGGCGCTCAGCCAACCACCCCAAATGATATGCTCCAGAATGTAAAGCAGTCATTTACAAGGGTTTTTTTTTAATTAACCTTTTCCCAATGGTCTCTAGAAGGAGGGCTTGGAAACACCTGCCTGCAGCAGAGGAAGCCAAGAAAAACGTGGGTGTTCAGGACAAGGGCAAACCTCCCTTTGCCCATGACGACAAGCAGCTGTGGTTCTGCCCTCAAAGAAGACAGGCTGAGCAGTCACTGCAAGAAACTGTGATTCTTTCTGTACAGAAAAAAAAGCTTTGTGAGCATCTTGCTGTCTATGAGCCCCGGCTTCCAATTGCTAAAGGACTGACAACCCCAGAAGGACTTTGCTGCAAGGCATGCTGCATAGGTGACAGAAAGAAATAGGGAGACATCCAGAAAATGTATTTGTAGCTTTCTTTGACATGCTGGTCTGGAACTGCCACTTCAAGTGCATCTGGGTTTGGGTTTCTGCAGTTGAGAACCACCACTGCTTTGTAAACGATTAACATTCAAATCAGCGTAATTGTAAATCACAAAAAAGTCATTTAAGCAATTGAACTTGTTGACTGCAAGTCAGTATCAGTGCAGCCTTTTTCATTAACAATATTAAACACAATGTAATTCACTGCTACAGCCCTACTAATTATAGCAACTTTATCTACTTCCCCAACACTGCCTAATATAGTTGTTTAATCTTGGATACCGAGCACAACTACAAGTTGGAGCATGAACATCTCCCCAAGACGAGACAAATAGTTTCTGGTGCACAAAGGGAAAATGGAGTATCAGTTATCACTCTTCTACCCTTGGGGCAGAAACTTAAAACAGCCTTACCGTTTCTGAGCAAAGAACTATAAACAAGCAAACGAGATGGATCAGAATTTCCACTGCGGTTCTCTTTTCAATTAGTTAGCACACTTTTTTTTTTAAAAACCACCAAAATGGAGCAAAATACTTACACTGTGGAGTATGACGTTCTTTACCCTACTGAAAAGCTTTGAAAACAACTCAGTAAAACCAGAAGATTTTTTTCTATGTAATCCTCTCTTCAGGCACTTTTTGTTCTTACCAAACGATTGCCATGGATCAGAGGTGGTAGCTGTCACTGCAGTTCCTCCCCAGGGGTCAGTTTGGTTTGCCACAGCGGTGGGTCCCCAGGGCTCTGTTTTTTGGGGGGCCGGTGCTGACGAGGGCAGAGCATCCATGAGATCCAACAAAGTCGTATGCTGGGGGTAGGAACATTTTACGCTTTAATAAAGAGCACTACTAACTGGTAGTAGCATATCCAGCATAATGAAGTCACAAGGAAACTTTTTGTTCCTCTGTACACCCGGGGTTAAAAGTGCATAAATGGAAGAATCCTACTAACAAAAGCAACCCCAAAGCATACAAGAGCTCGGTATTAGACTAGACGTTTATGGTGTTGGAGCATTTTGAAGCATAATCCAGGAATTTCTTAATTGAAGGCATTACCTCCTTCTTTTTGGGAATTTTAACTGTGTCTCTGCGACTCTCCTCCAGAGCCATCTGTAATCTCAGATCATCTCCACGTCTGAGGCGCTCCTCCTACAAAGGAAACAGACCCCGTGAGTACTGCCCATCAGCCTAGACTCTGCCTATAAAGATGGTACAGCATGCTCTATCCTGGTCCTTATCAGACTAGTGCAGGGAGAAGGCTTCCACTCCCTGCTTCCTTTGGAGCAACTTGCAATGTAAGCGCAGGCATTGGGACTGCCAGGACAGATCACCAAGATCCCTCCGTGCAATGCGACTGGAGAGAAATTCCCTTTGCATCTCTCCCCCGGACTCCCAACGAAAATCAGCAATATACCATTAGACCTGCATCACCATTTCTGGTTGAAACCTTTTGTTGAGAACATGTTTCATCTACAATTTCCCCAAAACGAGCAACACAGGTTTAAATAATAAGGACTTCATAATGCAGTAGCAAAAACCAGTGCAAAGCAGATACTCCAACCTTAAATTATGACTCTTCTGCCCCTTTAAATCATCATTTAAAGCCATATGTCAGTTTTAACTTCAGATTTCATGGCTTTTGTCAGCCTCTGTCCACATTTAGTACAACTCTCAGATCTAAAAGGAAGTGAACGGATTATCTAGTCAACTCCTTGCCTTTTTGGATTCGAAGACAAATAGACCACCTATAACAAGTTCATGTCAAATATGAATATTTGATTCTACTACCTCTTTCTAAAGCTGGTACTTTTTTATAGCTTTTTCAAACCATTTAAGTTAGGGTTGGCAAGCCAGTCATTTGACCAGCCAATTTACCAGTCAATTGACTCCATATTTTTGACTGGTCAAAGATTATAGCAATTTTAACAAAAAACCTATATTTTTTGTAGTTTTGACAAATAAGATTTTTTTACCCATTTCTTATGGAAAAATGTGTGCTTTTTCTGGGTATTATTTGCACCTACTGGCAATTATTTTTACAATTTTTGACCAATCAAATCAACTGACCGAACTTTATTTGACCGGTCAAATAAATACCCAACTCTCATTTAAATGCAGTTTTTCTACTTGGTTTAAAACCACTCTTTCTAGCTTTATTGATAAATGATGAATGCTTTCCTCTTTACTGAATCGCTTTGCAGAGATACGAACTTTGAATTGTGGCATTCAGTTTCACGCTAATGTATTCCACAAGGAAACATCCCACGTCACTCCAGGAAAAAAATGACATAGTTCCATAATTGAGACCGAGTTGAATTTTGAATGTACATCAGATTCAGCTGTTCATACAATAGTACTTTTCCACTGAAAATTGCTTTGTAATCAAATGGCTGCCATCTCATCGCTTTCGATGGGAATGAGGCCACAGTCCCTTCTCGGAAACGGTGACCCCTTCCAAACGGGCAACCCTCTCCCGCTACTTGCAACTGGTGCGAAGCCAAGCTGCCCCCAGGGAAAGACAACGGCAACGTATGCGTGTGGGCAGAGAAGTCGAATGATATTTTAGCTAACCTGCACAGGGTACTGACCTGCTCTGCAACTTCTCTGCTCATTGCTAACGCCAGCTGCAGTTGGAGCTCTTCCTCTCCGCTCGTCTGAGGCCGCGCCTGCTCTAGTTCTGACGACACTCGAGGGGACGTAGCTGTTGAAAGGAAGAGAAATATGTCAAATATGAGGGACCGCGCATCAAGCTTACTGCCATTTCCTTGCACTTTTGATTCCAGTCTCTCAACCCACTGTCCCACTTCTGTGCAGATGCTCCTGGAAGGCCTTCATTACAAGAATTGGGTCAGATTGTGAAGCATGCTGAGGGCTGTCTGCTCCATAGACCAAACTCGACTTCTCGAACTGTCTCTATTTGTTGACCTCAAATGGGAGTTGAATGCAAAACAGCCTAATGCATTCAACTCTCATTTGAGGTCAACACATAGAGACAGTTTTAAAAGGGAGAAACGTGGAAGGCACCCTTCAATCACATTAGAGAAAGCCTGTTCTTCGAAAGCAAGAGTTTGATTTGTTAAGAAGGATGATAAAAGTCAATAAATGCTGAATATCTGGGTGGTGCAATGGATGCTAAATGGGCTGCCGTAGCATATATCAGAGCTTTGAGAGACAGGTCACCGACTTTATAAACTGTAAATGATCATTCAAGACACGCTTTGCTGTATGTTCGGAGTACTCAAATGTCACAATACAGCAAGGGAATTTGCTGGAAGTCAGCCAGTACAAGGGTAAAATAGGATACCACCCACTTTTATGTAAAATAACACCCAGCCCTGAACGGAGCAGAAAAAAGAACTATTCTTAACTACTCTCAGTATTTAGACACAAACAAGTCAACTATTCATGCTGAAGGGTTACAAAATGCAGTCTCTGCAAAAACACAGATCCTTTCATCCACACAGATTATGCAAATTGAAAAAAAAAAAAAGATTACAATTTAAATTAGCGTGAAGATATGTTTTAAAGGTAGGCTGCACCGTTTTATAAGCAGGGGTGCTTAAAAAAGTATAGGGAGCGCGGATGCAGTTGTAACATCTGCTGAAGTCACGGGAAATAAATGAGCTGCGAGAATTAGTTTCAGACTTATGCCACTGTACCAAAAAAGTTAAACTGCTTGCCAAAAGAATCAGTGGGCTTCTTTCTACACTGGTCTTTATACAATGACGCTTGTATTAGAGGCAACCAGATGCTGCAAGTGGGACTGGATTCCAGTGCGCTCAGCACTGCACAATCATTAAGCAGTTTTTGTGCTCCCTCAAAGATTGGCACAGGTGGCACAGGTGCCAGGCAGCTTCTGTGTGGGGCATATATCAAACTGGGAAGGGAAAAGGCAGCACAGAGGCAGACAGGGCAGGGAGCAGAGAGCAGAGCAGCCAGGGAGCAGAACAGCAACTTGGGCAGGGAGCACAGGACGGAGCAGAAAGCTGAGCAGTGGATCAGATAAGGGAAAGGGACTGGAGCGGCACTTGGGCAGGGTGTGGGGCTGATTTGTGGCAAGAGCTGTGACTGGTTTTATAACAGTGCTTGGCAAAAATATTAATGGGGTTGTTCTTTTTAATGACGTGGTTCCCTCCAAACAACTAGGGACTGAACTGCCCCGACTGCAGCTAGAGAGAAAAGAAAAGAAGATCCTAGTAGGGTTTCCCTGAACGCTGTACACAAAGATTCCCCTCCTCTCCCTGCCAGCATTATTAAGCTATGCTATTGAATATCTAGGAAGCTGATGCCAGCAGGGTTTCCAAGCTCCATTGACAGGGAATCACTAAGCTAATTCCTTTATTATTCGATCTATTTTTGCCCATAAAGAGCTGCTCAGTGCTCGTGTTCATTGTAACTCCAGCTTGCAGAGACATACCAGTTGCAACACCCCAATCATTAAAGAGCTGCAAGAATGGCTGGAATCAAGTCATTCAAGCCCCTTTTTCCCATCCCTCTACCCCGGCCAAAAAAAGCGCGCTGAAGAATGACATTCTTGCCTTGGCAAGAAAACACATTACCTCACTGTTCCCAACAGCGACCAGCATTCATCAGTGCCAGGAATCGAACGTGGTTAACAGAAAAGCTATATAAATGAGACCTCCGCTCATCTTTTAGATTTTGCCAGCGATTAGATTCATGTGGCTGCAATCACTTTACTTTTAAATGGCATTTTAGCAAAATAAATTAATCTCGTGGCCGTTTTTAAATGAGTCGCATATTATAAACTGATTTCAAATGAAAAAAAAAAAAAAAAAAAAAGGTTTCATATGAAAAACTGAGAACATCACCAAGCTACAGGCACGCAGCAGAGGTCATCGGTGCATTTTTCGTGCAAGCAAAATTAAATAAATGAACGCGGGGGGGTTATCTTTGAGGCTAATGTGGTCCCCGCAACCCACTGCACTTTTAAATTCCTACGTTATCGGAACGGTCCCTCTCGATCGGCCGAGGGCTGCAGGACATGTTTTAGTTGCAAGGATAGAGTAGAAAGGTTATTTATTGCCTTAGTAACAGTATCTCTGCTGCACAAAGGATCTCTTATGCCGTAGCACATGACAGTTAACTCAGATGTTTATGTAAGATGGGACTGAATGGATCGATTCGGACCCGGTAAGCCCGGCTTTGTTGCTGGCAGAGAATTTTAAGATTCAGGCTTCTCCAGGCCACATGTGGGATATTTGCTGTTAGTAATAAATCCCCTTGGCCTGCTTTCTCACCAAGACTCTAGCTACAGTATGAAGAAATACTTTCCAATGTTGGTGAACAGCTAGGTCCTGTTCTACTTTACATCTGTATTACCAGCCGTGATGTCTGCCATACGTATTTACCGATCGTTTCTTGGCTAGGCTATATTTTGGCTGTGCTTACAAGCCATCCAGGAATTCCCCCCCCCCCCCCTTTTTTTTTAAAATTTTTTTGCCCCCCCCATTTTCTGATAAATTTTGTTAGGTTAAGCAAAAATAGTCAGCAGCTACTCACCCTTCATCAGGCACAGGAGACAGCAGAGATTGTAAAAGTTCTCCTAGGTAGAAATGAAGATTCATATTTCACAGGAGAGCTGAAGTGTGGCAGTATAAACCTTCATTTCTACTAGGAGATCTTTAACAATCTCTGCTCTCTCCTATGCCTAGTTAAAGGCGAATGTGCCCGAAAGCTTGCAAATAAATACTTTTTTTTTTTTTTTTTTTTTTTTTTTTTTTTTTTTAAAATTTCCGTTGGTTTTAAAAAAAAAAATCCCTTCCATGAGTTTTGATTTCTTTTGCCTCTAGACCAATACAACTATAATCTGGATACTCAATTTAATCATGCAAAAAATGCATTCTTGCTGTTTGATATCCTCTATTCATTTAAATTCTTGACACTGCACTTTTAGAGAGAGGTAAGGGCTTGTCTCTGTGTATACAAACTTGTAGGGAGAACCAGGGCTGATGGGTAGGTAATTGGGTCTGCTAGCTCTCATCTCCAAATACTGCTGTTAACAAGGATGTTATCTCTGGAGACACTAATCCACAGTTTGAGAACTGAAACTAAGCACCGCAGAGATGCTTAATGGGATCTTCTAGACTGAGCACCGAGTCCCACTGGGTACAGTGGTTTTCTTTAATATGTACTAATCTATAGAGGAGCTCTGGAAACCCCATAAGATTGGGCCCCTGATACAGTTCATGGCCTGTTGTGACCTATTTATAAAACTTTTTTTTAAAAGGTTACATGAATATAAGGCATATATATTGTCCATATCATTAGAAGGTATAATGATATCTTTGAGCTTTAACATATCTTAAATTAAAACTATCTTCATATAAGTTTAAGAAAAAAAAAGCATCTTAACAAAAAAAAAAGCAAAAAATATAATTAAATTTAAAAAATCTGATTTAAATTTTAAAAATCCATTTTTTAATTGTTGATTTTTATCCACCCTGATGTCCGTCATACCTACTTACTGATCATTTCTTGGCTAGGCTATATTGTGGCTATGCTTATAAGCCATCCAGGAACCCCCAAAGTTTTCTCATAAATGTTGTTAGGTTAAGCAAAAATATTCAGAGACAGAGAGCTATATTATGGTTTAAATCAGTAATTGGGGGGGGAAGGAATCAATTATAGTATACAATTAGAGTACACTTTTTTTATGCAAATACTCAGGCAGAAATTCTTTAAAGGTTCTCTATGCCAAGTGATTTCAGGTGCTTAGAAGGGAAAAACAAAGTCTTGTCTTCACCTACTTGTGGTAGGGATCCTTTTCAAAGACTGCAATGACCTTACAATAATCTGTTTTTGTGAGACAGGCATGCTATTATATGTAGACTGTGGAACCAAGGAGTACATAAATATAAAGACAGAAAAGAAATAGAAATAATACCATCACTGTGTCACCCTACGATCCATGAGTAAGCCGACGCGGATCCTGAACATCAGGCTACGTATCGGCAAGTTTTACGGTAGGCAGAATACAGAAAGAAGCAAAGAGAAAGTATCTGATCTTGCTAGCTGCAAATGTCAGAAGGAGGAGCAATGGGCTCAAGCTGCAGCAAGGGACGTTTATGTTGGATATTGGGAAGAATTTTCTCACTAGGAGGGTGGGGAAGCACTGGACCAGGTTACCTAGAGAGGTGGGGGGAAGCACCATCCTTGGAGGTTTTCAAAACCCGGCTAGACAAAGCCCTCATTAGGATGATGTAGCTGGGGCTGGTCCTGCTTTGAGCAGGGGGTTGGACTAGATGTGACCTCCTGAGGTCCCGTCCAACCTGAATTTTCTATGATTCTAAATGTAGCATACTGGTAGCACATTTTATGAGCTCACTGGGGTAAAAAACAAGATTTTTGATATCAGGAGAGAAACAGTACCATCAAATATTGCAGCTGTGTGCCAGGTGATCAGATCTGCGGCATAATTTCATCAGTAGTCAGTCAGTTTGTCACACTCCAGATTTTGAGTGTCAGGAAGCAACTTCATTTGGAATGAAACTTCTCCCTTACTGACATCATTTTATTTCATTATTATCATCAAAGATCAAAGCTGGGATTGCTTTCTAGGTCAAAGCTGAGATCAAACTCCTTCAGCCCTTATCGGTTTCCACTGCTCTTTGACATCTGTTCCACCCTGAACATTTATTTGTAAGATATAAACCCCCGGAGGATAAAGCAGTACACATGCAC